GTGTGTGTGTGTGTGTGTGTGTGTGTGTGTGTTCCAGATGCCTCCAGACAACTTTCTACTTCAAGAGCAAGCCAAGCTCCATATTGGTTCTATGTTAAGCCATCCATCATTTAGGATGTTAAGCCATCCATAATTTTGAGTAACAATAAGTCAGACCTCCAAAATAATAGAAGTAAATTTGTAGAACAAATTTCATATTTAAACATATCAATAGAGCTCAAATATTTACTCATTAAACTAAGAATGATTGAGGCAGTTCCTCCCATTTAATTTCATAGATTTACAGAGATTTTAAAATGTTGATCTATCAGTTAGTGTAGAAAGGGTCCTGGTCTTGGTTCCAATCTAGTCAGGACAATGACTAACTGTAATCCCTGGGAAAGCTGGGCTGTGATTTCCTTGTAAAATAAAAGAGAATGAAGTAAACAAGCTCTAAGATCCCTTTGATTCTGAAAATTATGAAATTTTATCAGAAAAACATCTCATTTTGTTATAGGTATTTCGTGAGGATCATAGAAGAGAATACACAGTAAGGAGAGCAGTATTTGCTTTCTTATCTAGTCAGCATTTGGTGGAATAGATGAAAGAAAAAAACAATTGCAGAAAATGTTCACCTCTCTAAAGAAGGAAGGAAATAATTTAAGATTTTTTTTTCCTTAGACACCTTTTATTAGAATACTTACGAGGCCATAAGCATTTGTTCCCTTTTCCTTACACCAAAGTTTTGGCTGATTGGGTTGTTTAGGTTTTTTAGAGTGATCCCAACTTGTATTACTAATGTAAGCATACCCTTGGTAGCATGGGCAGGGTCGGGCTCCTGTCATCTACTAACCTGCCCCTGAATGTCAAGAGGTTTGTCTGGACTACTTCCCCGGCCTGTACGGCAAAGGGTGATCTTTGACAAACACCCCAGCCAATGCTGTAACTACCCTTTATTTGCCTGTTGAAAGTAGCAGAGGCAAATGACCAGAAGCTTCACTTTAACTTCTATAATAAAATTGTGTTCCTTAATAAAAGCATTCTTTCTCAAGTTACTGAGGCCTCTAAACTAGCAGAACCCAGAAACCCAAGAAAGAGAACCAAGCTATGAGTAGAATTTTATAATGTAAGATTCTTGTGTTACTTATGGCTCTTTCAGATAAAGATTTGATGAAGTCATGAAACGTCATATGTTAGTATATTGGTTACAAGCAGCTAAAGTAAAATCACTTTAAAGCAATGTAGTTCTCTTACCTGATTATAACCCTCAAAATGTTAACAAATTAATCTTTTCAAAAGATAACTCTAATGTTTGGGTATGTGTGTTGTTATTTTCTTTAAATCTTTCATTTGTTGATAAATTCCAATTACTCTTCTAGGGGATGGAAACATAGAGGTGACCAAAGCAGAAAGAGTCCCTTCTTTCACAGAAACTAACATTTTCATACTAGTAAGGGGACATTTAAAAAATCTGTAAGTAAATGAATAAATCTATATCAGGTCAGTAGAGGAATAAGTACAGAAATGAAAGCAGAATAAGGAAGACAGGAATATCAAAAAGGGGGATGCTGTTTTTATGGAGGGGTCAAGGAACACATCAATAATCTGGACCATTTAAAGAGAGACAAGAATGGAGCAAGGAACGAGTCATGTAGATAGATGGGAAAAGCCAATTCCAGGCAGAGGAAACACAAAGGTAAAAGTCCTGAGGCAAGAGGGACTTTGGGGTACCTGGGGAAGAGCAAGAAGGACAGAGAGGCAGAGTAGAATAAGAGAAGTAATTTCCTAATATCTTTTTCTAAGAGAGGTCTGGTCAAACATAACTTCATGTTAATGTCAATTTCTATAAAATCCAGCAGAAATTATTTATTGAACTTCTGTGTCTCAGTTTTTCATTTATAAAATGGGTATGATAATAGCACTTCATAGGCTGTTGTCAGGACTGAATAATTTATGAAATGTAAAGTATAATTAAAAGTGTATCACTAGCTGGCCGGGCGCGGTGGCTCACGCCTGTAATCCCAGCACTTTGGGAGGCCGAGGCGGGTGGATCACGAGGTCAAGAGATCGAGACCATCCTGGTCAACACGGTGAAACCCCGTCTCTACTAAAACTACAAAAAATTAGCTGGGCATGGTGGTGCGTGCCTGTAATCCCAGCTACTCAGGAGGCTGAGGCAGGAGAATTGCCTGGACCCAGGAGGCAGAGGTTGCGGTGAGCCAAGATCACGCCATTGCACTCCAGCCTGGGTAACAAGAGCGAAACTCTGTCTCAAAAAAAAAAAAAAAAAAAAAAGTGTATCACTAGCACAATAACTAGCCATTTATATTTTATTCCGTTAGTAAACAACCATCATCTTTTTATTGATAGTAGTATCAATAATTGCATTTTTAAGGCTAATATTTTTTGCACTGACCATTAATTATTAGGGGAGTTACCTTATACATGTTATTAAAACATCGGGTAGGGTTATGGTATGTGATGGATCAAGCACAGAGGTTTGTATTATCAAAGTCTTATAAGAAAGTTTAAAATACATTAAAAATTGGGGTTTGAAATGTAGTAACTTAAGCTGAACATAACATGAGTATGATATCATATCAAATACTCACTTAAATGTTTCTTTATTTTTGTCAATCTTAGTTTCCTGTCTTCATGACAGCACAGAGCTCTTGGATGTTGGCAATGTCTTTCACATTCATTTCCAGCATGAGGTCTGAATTGATTCCTTGTTTCTCAATTATAACCATCATGGAATCAAGATTAATAACCTGCTTGGTGAGTTTTGTCCACCTTGGAATCTGGAGGCTTTGTACTCACTGTGGCCTGTCAGGCTCTGAGTCGTTCTTTCTACATGCTCCAGCAATGAGGTCAAGGACAGACACAGTCCAGGGAGTCCAAGGACTGCCTGCCTTAGGGCCACCCTTGTTGGGTTGCATTATTTCTTCCCCTCTCCCAGGCACAATTCATCATGGTTGAGGAGAATCTGAGAGTGGATTAAAAATTTCCTGATATATTCCCTGTGCTTACAACAATGTCTGGCACATTAGAGCTACTCAGTAACTATTTGTAGAATCAATAAAAACAGAATAGGCATGATGGACAATGTTGGTCCCTCCTAAACAGACTGATGTTGAAGCATGGCTGAGAAAGAGCACCTGTCCACTCTGCTCCCCTGCAAGGCTGGACTCCCACCTCCACCACCCACATGAAACATGCACATTTGTGATTAGCCCCTTCACCTCAGGGAACAGGATATCTGGGAAAGGCTTTGCTTTAGACATGAGGTTTTTGTGACCATCATATTTGGTTCTACTAGATACAACCAAGTTGAGTACAGCCTGTGATTTAAAAAAAAAATCACACTGGAAGAATTTTTACTTCTGGACCTACTGATCATTCCCTCAACATTCCTCCAGAAAATTTTTAGTGGGGGCCCATTCTGTATTAGATGCAGACCTAACTAATGTAGCACTGTAGAACTTTCAATCTAATTTGCATAAACATTGCCAAAAACCATGGCACCAAAACCACAAGTGCCACAAGAATAGTATCCTATATACCACATGATGTCAAGTAGGATGACTAATTTTCACTGGAGAGAACAGAAAGGCTTCAGAACAGAGGTGGGGTTCTCGATCACAGAAGGAATGAAGAATATTTCAATAGGCAGAGTGGATATGTGTTAATATATATACTGTAATTATAAAATAACAATACCACACCATCTGTTTCATTATTAATGCAGTATCCAGTTATTTCTTTGATTTCTTGTTTGCGTGTCCATTAGTCTTTGTCCTCCAAAACCATGATCATGAGCCACTTTAATAAAGAAACATTTATAGGTTAAAAAACCTAGTTGGCTTCTAAGGATGACTCAGGATACATGCTGAGTCAGCATTAGAGGATTTGGTGGAGATATTGTCCTTTATTTTGTAGTTTCTTTGCCAAACACAGTCACTCGTCCCACACAGCAGATGTTTGACATTCACTCTTTCTCAGTTAATAATCATATTTACTTATTATAAAAGTGACCCAGGTGTGGTGGCTCACACCTGTAATTCTAGCACTTTGGAAGGATGAGGCAGGAGGATCCTGTGAGGCCAGGAGTTTGAAACCAGCCTGGGCAACACAGTGAAGCCTCCATCTCTACAAAACACAAAAATAAACAAAGTAGCTGAGTGTGGTGACATGGGCCTGTAATCCCAGCTACTCAGGAGGCTGAGGTGGGAGTATCCCTTCAGTCCAGGAGTTCGAGGCTTCAGTAAGCTATGACTGTGCCACTGCACTCCACTGAGGCCTTGCCGCTCTCTAAAAACAAAACCAAAAACTACCATCTTCCTTTGAGAATGTTTTCAAATATATTTCTCCTAACGAAGATGGGTGAAGAATATGACAAATACTTAATCTTTTTGAAAAATATTTAAAGGGAGGATAACGTTGAGTGATTTTTCCAAATTCCCTTTCCATAGTGTTACCCATTTATCAGGTAATACTCATGGAGTGCTTATATGTGTCAGTACAGGTGACAGGAAAGGTATTCTTAGTAGAGTTGTTAAATGTTACCAATATATACTCTATTACCTGTAAATGCAGTGTTTTTTCCCTCCAAACATGATATGATGTCTGATCCAACATTTAGATAAATGCTTTATTTTCGCTGCGCCTTCCCCCACCTTGCTGATCAGTCTCATGACTCAAGGAGCACTTAATAGTAACAAGGAGGTAGCATGGCTAGGGGACATGCAATCAATTAGCATCTACTGAGCACCTGCCATGTGCAGGGTACTGTTTAATGGCTGATGTTTTGAGTAATTTATTTAGTTTGTTGTAAGTGACAATCAGTTGAAGACAGAAAAGAGTAGGGACAGTTTTAAAGTTAAGCACAAAATGTATTGAATGGGAGGAGGCTGGAGGAAGACGGCTGACAAAACAAGTTGAAGACCTGAGTCCTGGCTGGAAGGAATTCAAAGTGTCCACCTGAGAAATGTCTAATTAAACAAGAACAGAGAAACTGCTACCTGCGGGAGGGTGCGTGAGGTGACTTTTCCTCTAAGTCGCTCCGCCTGCCCCGCTGCAAGCCAAAAGGGCGGCCTATGCGGCCCCTCGCACTGTGTTGGGATAGCGTCAGGCGGGGCGCAGCTGACGGCCGCTTTCAGCGAGCCAACAAGCAGCCGCCCCCACCTGCCGCGGTCGCTGGCCCCGCCCCCGGGCGCGCGGGCCAATGGGCTGGGCTCCAGGGGGCGGGGCGGGCGGCAGGCGCGGCCGTGGCGGTAGCTGCAGGAGTGGCGGCGGCTGTGTGGTGGTGGCGGCTGTGGCTGTGGCTGCGGCTTGGCAGGGCGTCCGCGGGTCGTGGGGGATGGGGACGGCGAGTTCCAGCCCTCGGCGGCGGCGGCGGCGGCGGCCGTAGGTGTGGGGCAGGGGTTCGCGTCCGGGACGCGGGCTGGAGTGCCGTGGGGAGTGTGGGGAGATGGCGCTCGCTCTGGCCGCGGAGGTCGTGGCTCTGGGCTGGTGTCGCCCACGCTAGCGCCAGCGAGTTGACGTTCAGGGTCCGGGAGGTCCTCGGGGCGGCCTCGAGCGGAAGCGGTTGCGGGCTGCGCTGGGGACGGGTGCCCGCGGGCCCGGACTGGAGTCCTCGGGAAGTGTCTGGCTGGGTCGAGGGGCGCGCGGGGCGAGGCAGGGGCGGACGAGCGGGAAGACGCGGGCGGGGGCTGCAAGTTTGCCTCGGATCCCAGTTGAGTGCCCCAAGTTGGGCGACGCCAGCGGGCAGGCGGGGAGAAGCTGGCCGGTTGTACCTTCCTCCCCTTCCAGGATCCTCTCCCCCGAGCGTGTCTCAGCCCTGCTCCCTTTGATAGCCGCCAGTCCTCTTCGCCTCACTGCGGAATTCAGGGGTTCCTTTACCCTTCCCCCATTGGTTTCCTTCACTGGGTGTTCAAGTCGATCTTTCTCACTGGGGATCCTTTTTGGAAGTTTGGTGATGTTTTCTGAAATTACGGTCTGACACGTGCAAAGGCTGAATAGAACAACAGACATCTCATGTTCCGTATTTACTTTTCCTTACGGTAGTTCGCCTCACCTAGGCGGTGGCTGTTTATTACTTTGGGGGAAGGAGACCGAAGGTTTCAAACACCGTCTTTCGCCTTCTCTCCGAGTGCCCCTTCTGGAGCGTCTCTGTCGTCTCCTCCGGTCTCTCTCCCCCTGTCTCTCTTCCCGCTCCTTACTGCCAGGTCTCGCCCTTCCACCTTTTCCCAGCCATGGCTCTAGGGCAAGTCGAGTGCTCTGCAAAATAGGAATGACAAGCTGGGAGACTGCAGCTACCACCAGGAGAACGGACCCCTGTGCATTTGCTTTTCTAGGTGTCCGGGGACCCGGTCTGTGATAGAAACCTGGTGTTCCCGGGGAGGATCTTGGCTTTGGCTTAAACAGAGCAGCCAAGGACGTTCCTCCCTTGTCTTTCAGCCCTTTTGATATCTCCAGAGTTTATCTCACCTTTTCACCACCACCCCTCTTTAGAGACCAAGAATAGCGTTCCCCATTGTTTTTTGGATCTTTGACATCCTCTGTTTTCTAAAGATGGATCTTTTTCTGGGCGGGGGTGGGGAGGGGAATATTAGGAGGTGTTTTATGAACGCTCCAAGTAGCTTTTTGTTCTACATTTACCTTTTTCTTTATTATTCTTTGGGAATTAGCTTTGTTTCCTCCTTACTCAGTTTGGGAGAGGAGAGTCCCCTTTGAAGACAAATACTTCAAAATTAGATATGAAAGTGAATATTCAGAATGAGTGAATCACAACAAAATTATGAGAGTCTTGGAGATTAGGTCCTTTTGTGTAGTGATTTCTTTACGCAATTTGCCAGAAATGTCTATTTCAAAATGCCTCTTGATTATGGGAACTGTGTGAGAAACCCTGATGCCATAGCTTTATTAGCTTTACAGTATATACAGTTCTTGTCTCATGATTCTGAGAAAAGTTGGAGTGAACTTGAAGATAATAGGATAGGCATGAGTAGAAAATGTTTCGGTCCCCTAATCAGCAGGAAATAGAACTTTGGCTAAGACGAAGAAAAGTACCGCCCGAGAACGTATAGTGGTTGGTCATTACTGCTCCCCTCACCTCCTTAAAATAGAATATCCACCTCAGTTATAAGCACCTTCACTTACCCACCTGTAAAGGCTCTTGACCTAGGAACATGGGCTTTTATAGCCACTGCTCTTGGTCCCAAGGGATTAGTACCACATTGAACAAAGTTCACGCCCAGAAGTCGTCTGGAAGAGTTGTCATTCTTGTACCACTTATTCACTCAGCTTTCACTAAGAAAATTTAGTCTGATCCTATTTTGTGATAGACAGTCCTGTAGAACCTTTGCATCTTGGGTAGCAATGGACAGTACTGATGGGGCCTAAGGTATAATGTGAGTTTCCCAAGTATATTGAATGTCCTAAGGGAAAGTAGAGGGATGCTTTATTTTTAGTGGAGGAAATGAAAGGCTTCTTGCAATTCCCTCCACAACTACACCAGCGCCGCATTCCTAGGCACCGCTGAAATTCTTTTGTTATTTAAGATCAGGTTCATATTCTCTAGAATTTTATGTAAATGGAATCATACCATGGATATATAGTGTGTGTGTGCCTTGCTTCTTTGATTTAGCTTGATGCTTTTGACATTCATCCATGATGTTTTGCTATGTCATGGATATTTAATGTTAAATAGCATTCCATCATAAGGCTGTACCACAGTTTGTTTATCTGTTGATGGAGATTGGGTTTTGTTTTTGACTATCATGAAAAAATTGCTATGCATTTATTTGCAAGTTTAGGAGTGAATATATGTTTTCATTTCTTTTGGATATATATAAAAGGAGATTTACTGGGTTGTATGTTCATTGTACATTTACCTGTGTAAGAAACTGCCAGGCTGTTCACAAAGTGATTGTATGCCTTGTATAGAAGCATGTATTACAGTTACAGTTGCCCTACATCCTCACCAACAGTTAGTATTTCAGTCTAGCTGAAATTAAAATTTCTTGTGACTATTCAGTGGTATCTCATAGAAGTTTCAATTTGCATTTCTCTGATACTAATGGTATTGAGCAATATTTTATATACTTATTTCCCAGTTGTGTATCTTTTTTTGCGGAGTGTATGTTCACTTCATACTTATTATTTTATTGTATTTCTTGTTTTATTTTTATTTAATTGTAAGAGTTCCTGATATATTTGGTTACAAATCCTTTGTCAGATATTTTCTTCCAGTTTGTGGCTTGCATTTTATTTCAACACTATCTCTCAAAGAGCAGAAGTTTTAAATATTTTTGTTCAATTGTTTGTTGTTAGTGTATAGAAATAAAATTGATTATAGTATTTTGACTTTGTATTCTGTGATCTTGCTATATTCATTTATGAGATGTAGTAGCTTATTTATAGGCTTAAGATTTTTTTAGGTATACAAACACATCATCTCTGAGTATTTTACTACTTTCTTTTTAAATCTGAATGCATTTTCTTTCTTTCTCTTGTCTACTGTACTAGCTAAGACCCTCAGTAACAATATTAATCCTAATCTTAAGGAGAAAACCTGTAGGTTTTTTGTAAATGCCTTTTATCAGATTGAATAAATTATCTTCTATTCCTACTTTGTTGACTCTTTTAATCATGAATAGGCGTGGAATTTTGCCAGGTGCTTTTTCTGCGTCTTTTGAGATGATCGCATGGTTTTTCTCTAGTGAACATTAAACTAAGCTTGTATTCGTTGGACAGATGCTTCTTGGGCATTATATATTATCCTTTTTATATATTGTTGGATTTGACTTGCTAATACTGTGTTAAGAAATTTGTTCTGTTTGTGTGTGTGTGTCTGTGTCTGTGTGTGTGTGTGTGGGAGGCGTTAATGTCTCTGGTTTTGGTATCAGGGTAATACTGGCCTCATAGAATGAGTTGGGAAGTGTTCTTGTCTTTTCTGTTTTCCAAGAGTTTGTATAGGATTATTTTATCTGGTTCAGTGAGTTTTATCAGTGAAGCCCATGTAGGTGTACAGTTTTCTTTGTGAGAAATTTTGAATAATGAATTCAGTTACTTAATACATGTAGGGCTATTCTCACGTTTTCTGTTTCTAGTGTGAGATAGTCATTTGCGTCTTTCAAGGAATTTTTTCATTTCATCTGAGTTGTTAAATTTATTGGCATAAAGTTTGTAGCATTCCCTCATATCCTCCTATTCTTGTATCTGTAGGGTCTGTACTGATGTCTTTTCTTCATTCATATTAATGATTTGTGTTTTCTCTATTTCTTGATCAGTCTAGTTAGATATGTATCAATTTAATTGTTCTTTTCAAAGAACCAGCTTTTGGTTACATTGAATTTTCTCTATTGTCTGTTTTCTAAATCATTTATTTCTGTTCTTATCATTATTTATTTCCTTCTGCTTACTTTGGGCATAACTTGCTCTTTGTTTTCTAACTGCTTAAAGTAGAAGCTTAGATCATTGACTTTAGACCCTTCTCTTTTACACTAAAACTTCTAAAACTGTATCTAACTATGACTTTTACTGTGTAATCTCTGCATTTTGAAATGGATTTTCATTTTCATTCAGTTCAAAATATATTAAAATTTCCCCTTGTGGAAATTTGACCCATTGGTTATTTTAAAATTATTTTTTATAATTTACAGATATTTGGGGATTTCCTGGTTATCTTTCTAATATTAGTTTCAAATTTAATTTTGTTTTGGTCAGAGGACATACACTGTGTGATTTCAGTCCTCTTAAGTTCATTGGGACTTGTTTTGTCATCCCATATATGGTCTATCTTAGTGACTATTCCATATACATTTGAAAAGAATGTATATTCTTCTGTTTTTGGGTGGAATTTTCTGTAAATGTCTATCAGGTCAAGTTGATTGATAGTGTTATTCAAGTCTTCTATGTCCTTAATGATTCTTAATTATTTTCTGTTATTCTATCAATTACTGAGAGAAGAATGTTGAAATCTTGTCATTGGGGATTTGTCTATTTTTCCATCCATTTCTCTCTCTCTCTTTTTTTTTTTTTTCATATTCTGGACCTCTATTTTTAGGTACAAATAATTTCAAGATTGTTGTCATTATGATGAAATCACTCATTCATCATTATGAAATATTGTTCTTT